GTACGCCACAGCAGCATCACAAGTGTGGATGGACGAGGAGGAGCTGTGAAAGACAGTCTTGTCGATGGTTTGCGAACCATCTTCTCCATTGACAAGGACGCAAAGAACAAGCAGGCGCTGCAGTCTGTCATTCCTTTGATAGTGCTGGAAAGCTCAAGTCAAGGACAAACTCCGAGCTTGACATTGAATACCGTCAAGAAGCAGTTCAAGACGATCTTGCAACCATTCTACAGAGAAGATCCAGACATTGTTGAGATGTTGACAGCAAACCTCATAGCCATCGATCTTCTAGGTGAGCCTAGCAAAGAGTCTGGGATCAGCAGGCTTGAGGATCTGAAAGAGGAGCTCTTGTCCTCTCAAAAGTCGAGGATAGATGATGCCGTCTCACTAGGAATGCCATTGACTGCAAGGCTAAAGGCACAGACAAGTAGTCTGATCGCTGTTATCAAACAAAAAGCGTTGTCTTCCTTGCGTGATTGTAAAAGTCTTGAAGCCCTTGAAGACGTTTGCAACCTTGAGCGGGAAGTGCTGAAGAAGTTGAAGAAGCTCAATGTTGGTGGAGCTTATACTGCCATGCAGACTATCTCGACGACAAAGTCTCGCTGCCGCAAGGCCATTGAAAGCAAGCTCAGACAGAAGGAAGAGGAGGCTGTGTGGAGCTTGTTTTCAAAGATCAGCGAAGAGCTTGTGCGATTGCATGACGAGCTCTCAGAAGGAACGAGCAACTTCAGCGATGCAATCCTGCAAGATGTCAAACACCAGATCACGGAAAACCAAAACATCCACGAAACCCTCAAGAACGACCTGCACCAGCAGGCCAAGACAGCTCTGGAGGACTACACGTTCTGGATGCTCGCAAGAGAGGTAGAAGAGCTTACGAAAGCAGTCAGAGATGGTGACTTGCCGAGCAAGAGGTCTGAGCTTCAATCAAAGATAGAGTCAAGCGAGATCGAGTCGCGTCTCAAGGACTTGCTCAGGAAGCATCTCGACCATGCGTGTGGCGAAGAGAAAGTGGTTTTCGATTCCATGGAGGAGCAAAAAGCTGAGATGGAGAGTTTTCGACATCTTGTTCGTAAATCAGCAACCGAGAAAGTGAAGAACAAAGACTACGACTTCAGCGCAGAGGCGAAAAAGAATCTCATGGGCAAACAGGGAAAGTCGCTTCGTCGAAGCGTGAGCTCAGAATACGTACAAAGCGAGGTGAACTTCATCCTGGAGTCTGCGGGGGTTCGTCTCCAGCAGGCGAAGAGACTCAACGACATGAGCTTCAACAGAGACCAGCTGAAGGAGAGACATGCGCTGATAGTGAAGACACATGACGCCTTGAACCGGTTTGAAAGTCAAGTGGAACAATCTGTCTCCGAAGAAACTTTCTTGAGCCCCTCATGTGAAGAGCTGAGGAGACTTGAGGAGGAGATAAAAGGGTCAGATAAGACCATGGCACTGGACTTTCTCGTTGAGGAAATCGCAAAGAAGATAGATGACGCTGAAAAATATATCAAGAGCGCAAAGCTTGACAACGACGAGAGAAGCTTGCGGGACGATCTCGATCAATGGGGTGAAAAGGTTGAAAGTGAAGCCTACTCGAACCCTGAGAAAGAAATGTCTCAGGAGCGGTCGGCAGAGAGAGAGGAGCTTGAGAGCAGGATGAAGGACTTGCGAGACAAATCGGGCAGAAAAATGCCTTTATTGGAGCTGAAGCTGAAGG